TACTGAATAGCATCTTTCACCATATTCATGACCAGCAGAGTGGCTTATCAAAAAGGAACTGATCATGTGACAAAAAGACAGCTTGCTATTTTCATGGTCTTTCCCATCTACTACCTCACTTTGCTTAACATCAGGAGTAACCATCTTTTCTCAGTATCCCCACAAGGTATGCTACTCATACGTTCATAACTCTTCTTATGCCTTTTGTTTATAACTTAAAAGGTTTGATTCCTATTTAGAAAGATAAAAACTCCCCCAAGAGACTCCTGATGATTTGGGAATGTGTCCATATGGTCTGCTTGTTTCCCATACAGAAAGGATTGCCGCTGTCTTTTCCCCCAGTTTTCCAGACTAATCTGCAGCCTTAGAATTTCCTCGTGGTCTCCTGTTCAAGTACAAATAAGGTCCAACGCTGTATAGTTTTTCAGGAACAGTCAACGTTGACTATACTGTCTTAAAATAAAGCCCAATTCACGGGTTGTTTTTCAACTTATGAGTATATCTGACATGAATTCTAAGACACTGTGATGACTCTTCCAGACACATCCCCAGATACCTCTACAGATGCCAGTTCAGAGGAGGATAAACCAGTCCCAGATACTTTACACTTGTGTGCTTTACACTTGTGTACCATGGTGGCGCAGTGGTTAGAATGCAGTGCTGCAGGCTACTTCTGCTGGGTGCCTGCAATTTGGCAGTTCAAATCTCACCAGGCTCAAGGTTGACTCAGCCTTCCATCCTTCCAAGGTGGGTAAAATGAGGAGCCAGATTGTTGGGGGCAATATGCTGACTCTGTAAACCGCTTAGACTCTAGAGGGCAGTAAAGCACTGTAAAGTGGTATATAAATCTAAGTGCTATTGCTATTTAGGAGGTCAATGGTTCAGAGCAGCTAGCTGAGAGTGATTTGGCTGAAGCACAGCTGCAGCAGTATAGCCTTGAAACTTCAAGTGGGGAAAGCATGCAGCTGCAGCCAGTTAACAATGAGGAAGAGGAACTGCCTTCTGCACCTGATCCAAGAACACATAGATACAGAAAAAAAGCAAGATCAGTAAAGGTTATCCTGATAACTGGTAAGGTGGCAGCCTCATCCTTCTTGATGGGCTATTCCAGAAGCTGGCTATTTAGCACAGCAGACAGATAGAGGCGATGCTGGGAACAATGTGTACATTTCCTAGCTGTATGTTTCCTGGTTGTTGAGATTCCAGCCTTGCCTTGGATTGATGCTGTGTCTTGACTTTAGATCACGCCTTTTGAACTGTGGACTTTTCTTGCCTTGTGTACACTAACCCACCATTATGTGCATGTGTGAGTGAGTGGGACACCACAAACATACACCAAAGGAAGGAGCTGAAGCTCTATAAGCAGGATCTCCTCTCTCTGGTAAACAGAAACCTTGCAATAGGAGAGATTAGGCTCTTACAGCAAACCCAACATTGCTGGACTTGCAAATAGCACTGGTAGGGAAGACAGTGGCCAGACTGAAAAAGTTACTTCAACATAAGCAAGGACTGGACGTATCCATTCCCACTTCCCACGCAGCCCTAAGCTCAGCCTTAAATACTTGTTTCTGGTAGTCCCCAACTTATAAACATCCATTTAGTGACCATTTGAAGTTATAATGGCACTGAAAAAAATGACTTATGACCGTTTTTCACTTACAACTGTTGCAGCATCCCCATGGTCACATGATTACTTTGAAATCCTTGACTCTGAGTCTAACTAGCCTTCCAAGGTTACTATATTGTAAAAAAAGGGAAGGAGAGTTAAACATGATGCATATATCTATATCTATATTCATCTATATTCTATATCCTAAACAAACCTCACAAAGGGCCACCCGATGCACAGATGCAGATAGATAGATAGATAGATAGATAGATAGATAGATAGATAGATAGATATAGACAGACAGAAAAGACAGATGCAGATGCAGACACAGACAGACACAGACAACTGAGTTACTTAAGGATGTGGAACCTGCTCTTTGTACAACCATTCATTTAGTGACCATTCAAAGTTACAATGGCACTGAAAAAAAGTGACTTATGACCGTTTTCACACTTACAACTGTTGTAGCAACCCCATGGTCACATGATCAAAATTTGGCTGCTTGGAACTGGCATGTATTTATGACAGTTGCAGTACTCCAGGATCAGGCGATCACCTTTTGACAGGCAAAGTCAATAGGGAAGCCAGGTTCACTTAACAACCATGTTATTAACTTAACAACTGCAGTGGTTCACTTAAGAACTGAAACAGGACACATTGTAAAATGAAAGAAAACTCCCTTAACGACTGTCTTGCTTAGCAACAGAAAGAATTGGGCTCAATTGTGGTCTTAGGTCGAGATATTACTTTGCCACTCGTTTTAAAAGTGAACCAGAGGAAGAAAACGGGATAAATTTTATTCTGATAGCCAAGCCAAGGCCTTTGTTTCCGATTGAGTTCAGGATTTCCTTTTATCATTAACAGTAAACCCCAATCAGTCTGCGTGCTCTAGAAACAGCGATTGCGTCTGCTAAGGGCACGTACTTCCCTCCCTGGCTCGATTCTCCGAATCAATATTCCGCGGACTGACGCTAAGGCTTTGGCCAACTGTATAAAAGGCAGCGCCACGCAGCCCCATCCATCACCAACGGCCGCTCGGACCAGGCGAAACGTCTTGCCAGACCGTCAGCCAATTTCCAATTAGAGCGCGGTCCCCTCGCAAAACCACCCTGCTGAACTTGGTCCAAAAGTCCAGTCATTTGGAAAAGGGACTTCCAACTTCGTTCTGTTTCCACTCACGGCCTGGCCACGGCGAGGCCAGACACCCGAGAGTCCGCAGAGCTGGAGGAAACCTGCAATGCGACGGGGAAGGGGAGGAACCCGCGCCGCCGAGCCAGTTCAGCCACTTTCTGAAGCACGAAAAGCCAAAACGCCGGAAAAGAGCCCCACCTCCGACTCTCTCTCTCTCTCTCTCTCTCTCTCTCTCTCCTCCACCACCATCCCCCATTTCCCGCCATCCCTGAACTGGAGGAGGGAGAACACTCGGCGCTTGGATCTTTTCGGAGCGGCAGGAGAAGGGGCGGCCAGGAGAAGCAGACTGCAGAGGCGAGTCGGTAACGTGATCCCTGCCAAACATACCAATCCTAAGAGTCTGTCTCGTTTTCTGGCTGCTGTCTACCTCTCCCACACGGGCGGGAAGCAGGAGCCTTTTTAAAGCAACGTCTCCTGGGTTGCTCAGGGTTAACCTAAAAGGTCTGCAATTAAGGCAAGAAGGAAAGCTCGTCGGACTCTTCTTCCCCCCACCCCACCCCACCAAGATTTGCTGCAGATGTTTCCACAGAACAACGCGCAAAAAGGAGGGGAGAAACAAAAGCTACCCACACTGTAACCCGGCGCGGAATGAATGGACGGGAGAAGGTGCTATTTTGTTCGCCTCCTCCCACCTTTTCTCTTTCCAAGCCGAGTCTTCCAAACGAAAACATTAGGGGAGAGTCGATTGGGGCAGCGGGCAAAGACTGCGAGCTCGAGTCTGGTCCGAGGAACAAAGCCAACTTGGGTGACGTTGGGCCATTCACTCTCTCGCCATGGCAGTGGCAGGCAAACCACTTCCAAAATACTGCCAATAAAACAGCGGGGACTTATCCTGGCAGTTGCCAGAACTCAGCAATGTCTCGAAAGTATCCCCTCCACACACACCCGCCCGCAAAAGGGATTCCCAAATCTACTGTATAGCCAGGACATAAGACTCATAGGTTACTTAAAAAAAAAAAAAACACCTTTTGTCCGATCTAAGTCCACTTTAGGGAGCAGGTTTGATCTGGTGCAGACTGCTGCCTTCCCAATTAGTGACTGCAGGGACCTTCCTGATGCCGGAAACGCAACTCACTACTGTACAATCATGGAAATCCATGGTTCCGTTCCCCCTCCCCCTCCCCAGGCTCACGAAACCGCGGGAAGAAAGGACTTGCGTGTACCAAGGCTTGGTCCAGCTGGAAAATCCAATTTCCCTAAATCCCGATTGCCCGTCCCACCTCGGATGGTTTTTCCAGTTGTCCCCACCGTTCTTGTTCACGGCAGACGGCCTCCAGGCCACGAGCTGACCCCTCGGACCTTCCTTCCCCAGCGCTATTTGGACTGCCTTAATGGAACCATACAGTAAAACGGGCATCTCCCTCGCAATCTACAGCGTATACATTGGTTTTGCCTGCCTACCAACCTCACAAGCCTGCTCTTTAAAAAAAAAAAAAAAGACAATGCCAGCGTTCATTATTGGGGCGGAGGTAGATTTTGTTCTCTGCGTTCAAAGCCAAGATTGATGCGCGAAAGCCGGGAGGCCACGCGCAAAAAAGGCCGGCCAAAGTTTCGAAAGCGCCAACAGCGATCCTCCAAGAGCGCGTTCCAAAACAGGGCACCCACCCACGCAGGCACCCTGTCCTCTCCTTCTCTCCCCCCCCTTTTTTTGGCACACCCAAACGTTTGCACTCAACGCGATTGTCCCAGGTCCGCAGAGTGCCGGACGGACGCGCGCTTGTTTGTAAACTTTGCACGTAGCCCCGCCAAGCTGGAGAAGACCGCGTGTGTTTTGTTTTGTTTTTTTAAACTTGCGAAATCCTCCGCCTCGCTGCGGCAAATCTAGAAGGCGGCGAGATGGAGAGCAGAAAACGGAATGGGGAGAGAGAGAGAGAGAGGCTCCTCTTCCACGCGAATCGAAATATAATCGCATATAATTGCTTCTCTTTTTCCTTGCACGCTTTTTTCCCCACTTTGGGATTAAAAAAAACAGACCGCTTCGAGGTTACACAGACGTAACGAAGACTTCCACGCACGTTCACATCTTCGGTGCCTTTGTTGAATTTCAACCGCACCAACATATTTCTTTATCTTAAATGTCTCGCGCGGCCAACGGAGCCCTCTTCCCCTCACCCACCCGCGGCTGCTATTTCTGAGTGGAGAGTTAGTGCACCCGCCGCTTCGCTTTGCAAAAAAAAAAAAAAAAAAGCTACTCACTCACTTTGCCCGCGCAATGGCTCAAAGTTTCTCTCCTCCTCTCGTAGCCCGTCCTCTTAGCCCGAGCAGCCCGACCGTAGCAGCGCTACTGCCACTGTTCATACTTCTGATCTCTGAATACTTGGTGCTCTCTTTGGGAAAGCTTTTTTTTTTTTTTTGCCAGAAACTGATTTCCTACATTTCATCAGTCCACATAGACGGAACGGAAGTTTAATGCTGACTTGAGGGAGGGGAGTAGGGGAAGAGGTAGGGGGGTGGATAGAAAGAAGCGGCGAAACGGCAAATACAGGTTTACCATAGGAAAGAAGAGGGAGATTGAATTACAAACTTTTAGCAGAAACTTTGGACCGAGAGCGAGCCAAGTGCTTATTTAAGTTGCTTCCAAAATGCATTGAGAGGAACGGCGCGCGATGACTTTGAAAAGAATGCTGGATGGGATTTATTGGGAGCAGCATTTAATGACACTTAACATGCAGTAAAATGTTTCAGCTGGGGAACATCAGGAGCCAGGGTTTAAGTTGATGCCTTTAGGCTCATTGGGCAGAATCCATATCTTCTTGAGGCCAAGGATAGTGCTCCCACTGATGGAAAACAGGGGGGAAAATGTAGTTAATATACTCTGGCATAAGCTTGTCTGGGTATAGTTTTCTTCTTGCAGTGTTACTAGCAGATAGACAGAGACAATGATGGGTGGATGATTAGGTAGGAAGCAAGAGGCCTGTGCAGCACAGATGATGAGACTAAAACATATGATGAATGGTTGCAATTACTTGGGTATGGGCTAGTCTAGTAAACAGAAGGACCAGGGGAGACATGGTAGCTGTGTTCCAGGATTTGAGGGGCTGCCACAGAGAAAAGAGGATCAAGCTATTTTCCAAGGCACCCGAAGGCCAGACAAGGAATAATGGATGGAAGTTGATCAAGGAGAGATTCAGTCTAGAAGTAAGGAGAAACTTTCTGACAGTGAGAACAATCAACCAATGGAACAGCTTGCCCTCGTAAGTTGTAGAAGCCTCATCAAGGAGGCTTTCAAGAAGAGATTACACTGCCATTTGTCAGAAATGGTGCAGGGTCTCCTGCTTGGCCAGAGTGTTGGACTAGATCAGAGGTCATCAACCGGTGATCCGCGGACCACTGGTGGTCCCTGAGAAAATTTTGGTGGTCCGCAGCGCATTAGTGTCTGCAATGGGGTGACACCAACAGTGGATGGACTGATGTGCACAGGGACAAAGGGTAGCGCGTGAGAGATCGCGGCATCGGAGCCCTTCCCTGGTGTTCCCTGGCCTGTGAGGGGGTGGGGGTAAAGGAACCTCTGAACTGGTGCTGGGTGGTGGGAATCTGATGTCCAGAGGCTGACGAGCCACGTGCTAAAGACCAGATGGCTGGCAGGGAGGTGGGGCAATCCTACAGTCTCCCTAGCAAACCTGTGTCGTGGCTGCTGCCTCCTGCCTCCACGCATTGAGGAGGCCGAGCAGCAGTGGGAAGAGCACGGACCTCCTGAGCTGCAGGAAGCGGCTGCCAGAGATGCCCTCAGGTGAAGATATTGTGAGGGGGAGGCTCAACCCCTCCCCTCAGGAGCCGCAAAGTGCTCACCACCCCTCTGGCAGCCTCCTCCCACCATGCTTCTCTTTCTTCTCGCCAGAAACGCTCACACACCCAGAGGGAAGGAGGAGGCTTGGCAGGTGCCAGAGGTGCGGTGAGCGCTTTGCAGCTCCTGAGGAGAGGGGTCGAGCCTCCCCCTCACAACATCTTCACGTGAGGGCATTGTTGGCAGCCACTCAGCCTCCTCGATGCACGGAGGCAGGAGGCAACACCAGTTCAGGGGTTCCTTTCCTCCCATCCGCATCCCCTCACAGGCCAGGGAACACCCGGGCTCCGATGCCACGATCTCCCACGTGCTACCCTCCCTCCCCGTGTACATCAGTCCATCCACCGCTGATATCACTACTGTTGCCCCACCTCCCTGCCAGCCATCTGGTCTTCAGCATGTGGCTCGTCATCCTCCAGACACATCAGATTCCCACCACCCAGCACCAGTTCAGAGGTTCCTTTCCCCCCACCCCGAGGACAGAGGCGGGGAAGAGAGAGAGAAAAAGAGGGAGAAAGAGAGGGGGGAGAGATTAGAGAGCCCAGTGTTTTGTTTTCTGTGGGAAATGGGTACAATTGACTCTTGAGTATTTAAGGTTGCAGAAACAGGCAGCCAAGCTAAGTGCCTGCAGGACCCCATCCCGTCAGTAGGAGTCGAGGCGCTTTAGCGAGCGGTGTGCTGGATTCATATTAGTGGTCCGCAGGATTTAAAATTATGAATTTGGTGGTCCCTGAGGTCCAAAAGGTTGGAGACCCCTGGACTAGATGACCTACAAGGTCCTTCCCAACTCTGTTAATCTATTAATGTATCTTTCATATCCTTTTTTTCCTATAGGCTTCTAAGTCCATCTTGCTGATGAAACTTGGTATAGCAGTGAAACTCTAAATATTGGAACAAGTTGTGTTAACCTGCCCATTAAAATGGGCATGTTAACTCCTAAAGGGTTTACCATAACACCAAGTAAAAGGTGAAAAATGATTTCCCCAAAAGGAGAAAAAACAAAATTTCACATCAGCGGTCTTTTCATAGCAACATATCATCTCATCTCTGTGGCTTTCGGTCACCACAAATCCATCAATCAATCCTTGCAGGTACAGAGACACTTCCCAAAATTGCCTACACTTGAAAAACAGATTTTTAAAGCCAAGTTATTTCATGTTGGAGGACTATCCAAATATCATATTTAAAATATAAACTTCTTTGAATTGAGCTTGATTCCTGATACTTCAGAAGCAGAGCCCTGAGGTTTTCTAGGTTACAATGGAAGCAACAATACCTTGTTATTGCACTATTCATGAATGCATCCCGTCCACCCACCCTTTCATTTCAAAGTCTACTCCATAGCCTTATTTAGCCCTTATCTAGTCCCTAACAATGTCTCACCTTCTTAAGCTTTTAGAGATCAGCAAATGTGGCCCCTTTCAGTAATTCAGATGAAACAATTTTCGCACAGTAATTGGGATTATAGTGGACAGTTTCCTAGCAGGCACTTCTATTGTGTGTCTTTTAGTCATTCTTATTCACATTATTTTGGTTCACAGTAAGATTGCTTCTATATATCCCATTCACCATCTTCAATATACCCGTGTGTGTAAAGTCACAGCACTGGTTTCACTTACAAAGATGACTTAAGAGTTTTTCAACTTAGTGGCAGAGCCCTTTTAGCACTTGCTGTGTATGCCAAGAGGAAAAAAAAACACTCTGAACATAAAAACTACATTCTGGCAACTTCTAATTATGGTATCCATATTTATTTAATTACCTTACACACTGTTTGCTATTTTAACCATAACATTATCCAACAGTTGCTTATTAGTTCAATCATCTTGTCATTGTGAAAAAAAAATAACTTTCGTTAATTCAGGAGGAAGAAACAGATGTTGGAATGACTGCATGGATATAACACCTGTCTGGTTCAGTTTCCTACTAGTTATCATCCTATTCTCTAAAAAACTAGAGCATTCCAAATCTCTCATTTTCCATTATTCTTTTCCATCTGACAGTAAAAGTGGTCACAGATCACGTTTAAGGGTGGGTACCCTTTTAGAAGTTGGATCATATATTTTGGTTATTTCCCCCTCTCCCCTTGGAGGAAGATAATAGAGGGTGGCATCTTCAATCCAACTATGTGTGATAGATGTATTCAACTTATGTGAGGTTATGCATATTTATTTTAATCTATTGCCAAGTGAAAACTGATTAAATAGACCATCACCATTGAGCAGGCAAACTTATAACACCATCAAAAAGAGAATGAATAAAGAATTGTCAACTTTTTCTTTATTCACTTTATTCACCAGGATCAGTTTCTGGATATTTGCATCTCTTCTCCATATAGAAGTTGATTAACTATATTTCTTGCAACGGTATATGCATCAAGCTCCTTGATGCCTAATCCATGGCTCACTGATGCCATTCCTCCAGAAGCCACATGCAAACAGACTGAAAATTTAAAGGAACAGAAGCATGGATGACATAATCATGGCAGAAATAAAAGCACCCCTTTTTAGCAGATAAGAGTCAGATCACAATCATTGTCTACCTAGGAATGTCAAACTGGCAGCCCATGGGACTGATGTGTCAAGCGCAGGCCACGCCCACCAGCAAGGGGGAAAGGGGGAAAAAAACATCTCGATATGTAACATGATGGCAATGTGATGCTGCAAGCTTGACACCCATGGTTCTATGCTAACTTGTAATGCTGTTAAGTTATTTTTGTAGACTATATTTTGTATATTTTTGAAGATGCTATGCTGAACCACAGGATCAGGAAAATCCAGAGTTTTCCAGAAACCCCATGACTTCATACTTACTTCAAAGGAACTTTTGCGCTTGGAATAAAACTATGAATCTTTTCCCAGACTTCAGACTTCAAACTCTACAGTTGTGTGTACATGGGTTTCATTTCAGAGAATTAAAAAAAAAAAAAGATTGGAAAGGCTGTGTAGCCACATACACAGCTCTCCCCTAGAAATGTTCAATAATACGTGCCTTAAACAATGTCCAAGACATATGGTTAGAAGAACAACATGCCAATTTGTCTATACTTAGTCTGTACTTTCCACCCCCATTTGACTGAAATACATTTACTGAGTTTTTATTCTTGTTTTGACTGAACAGCCTTAGTATCATGCTTCAACGTGCTAATGTGATATGAAAATACAGCACAATTGGACAGTCACAGGCTAGTAATGCTGTATATTTCCAAGCCAACTTTTATGGACAAAGTCCTGGTTAGGCCTGATTGCCAAATGCACAGCTGAAACTCATATTATTAGCTACAAATAATGGAGAGATCTACACTTCAAACAAAACCTACACATTCCTGGTTTGCACTCCTGGCTGAATTTTTCTTCCAGGTTTGCCTTTCACTTCAAATAACAGCCTTTAAGAAAGGCTTGTATAGAAAAGGCAAAAAATCCCAAATGCTTCTTATAATTTTCATGTATTTGTGAGACTCCTGGACTGCCTGACCAAACATCTCGGGGAAATGTAAAAATCTGTAATTTGGGTTAAAAAAAA